CACTGAGGTACTACGGGCCACTATAGTGGCCTTTCGTATGATGCCACTGAGGTACTACGGGCCACTATAGTGGCCTTTCATAAGATGCCACTGAGGTACTATGGGCCACTATAGTGGCCTTCCATAAGATGCATTATATTGCATAATGTTTTATTTCCTCTCATACTGTAAATTAAAGAGCGCATGCTAAGACGTTATAAATACCCTGGAATACCCTTTATTTATAAATACCCTTTGGAGAGAAATTTTTTCGTACGAAAACATTCAAGCAGCTTGGGTTCTCCGCCGCGGTACTCCCGCTGACGATCGGCGTCGCGTAGCGTGCAGTGATGTCGCGGCGCTCCGTTCAGCGGAAGTACCGCGGTGGAGAACCCGCCCGTAGCGAAAGGGTTAATGGACTTTTATGTGTTTGATATTTAAAATTTATGTGCTTTTAATTTGCCAATGAAATTTAGTCGGGAACTCTATTGGGAAATGATCTGTTTATTTATCCAAGAAGGAATTAATTCTTCAGAGAAATGTGTGTTCTAATTTGGCAATGAAATTTATTAGTAAAATTGTGTGTTATGAAATACATTACAATTGGCACACAATGTGCTTGAACATTCACAATAACGATACGTTGGTGGATCAGCAAGAGATCTAATAATTTTATTCCAAGAATAATAAAGAATAATTCATTCTTCCGAGAAATATCGATACATTACGTTTCGCGTAATTATTTATATTGAATTGGAGCACAAAAATTGAAAAAAGAAATGTAACAGTGCTTCTAACTATTTATTACTATTTTAAATATTCTTGCTTGAAGCACTATAATTTCGTACACTATTTGATGATATGTCTAAAAAGGAGTCAATGGCATATAAATGCATAGTAATGTCCCAAGTGTCCTTGTACACCCATTACAATTCAAGTCTAGAACAACAAGATCTCTCATCATTCATCTTACTTATCATCATTTATCTTTAATATTTTTAAAACAATAAGATTTTGATAACAAATATATAAAGAAGAAGAAATTTAGGATTTCGAGGAGGTTTCCTTCAAATATGTCCCATAATTATGTTAACGCCTGGAAAGGGGTGATTCTTGAGGTCATTTGAAGTAACGAAAAACACTGGCCAATGAGAGGCGAGCTCGATTGGCGCAAGGCACCGAGCCAACGAGCGGTCGAAGTCCCGTTCCACTGATTGGCTCGGCCGTCTAGCGCTAGACAACTCTCATTGGTGACTGTTTTTCGTTAATAACACGTAAACAAACCCGCGGATTGCATTTTCGCTAAAGAAATAGTTATATCAAATGACCTCAGGAATCACCCCTTTCCGGGTGTTCCCATAATTATAGGACACTCTGTATAACAAAATTCATAAAAGTAAATTTTTAGAAAGGTATTAATATTCCTGAAAATTTGGTAAATTTTCAAAAATTGCAAAAGCCACTGAAAGATGCTCGCAGTCCCCTCGAATCCTGGTACTCGTGAAATGTTCGTGGAACAGTGAGAGGATGTGGTCTAATTTGCAGGAACCTGTCGAGCCTCGTGTCCGTCAGGATTCAGCGCGGACAAGAAGCGACGCGAGTGCGTACCGTGCGCCCCGGGATGCGCCATTTGTGCAACAGCGTCCTGCACAAGTTGCATCGATGGATGGAGCCTGAACCAGGAGGGCCTGTGCGCGCCGGAGCAACGCGATCGCTGCGACACGTCCGAGTTCTTCGACAATGGACACTGCAAGCCGTGCCATACATCGTGCAAGACCTGCGCCGGATCTACCAAAGACAACTGCATCTCCTGTCAGGGCTCGTTGCTGCTGCAGGGAAGGCGTTGCGTGTACCAGTGCGACGAAGGATATTATTCCATGGCGCAGCCCTCGAGACCGGTTTGCGTGCCATGTTTACACACTTGCAAGACATGCGTGTCGCGATTAAACTGTACCGCTTGCCAGGACGGGCTGCAGCTGCAGAGCGGCGAGTGCAGGTCGTCCTGTGCTCAGGGGTGAGTCCTCCAAACAATTATGTTTTCATAGCCCCCTTGACGGTGATGGGATCGACCGATGCAGGAACCTCGGGACCAATTAGAATTTTAGTCGTTCGAAGTTGCGAAATCTAATCGCAAGCAATCGGAAACGAAACCGAAGTTTGAATCAAGTTCAGATGATCAAAGTTCGATCGAAAGTGATCGCATCGACGTCGGTAACAAATTGTTCGAAAGCGCGAAATCGCTGCATTCGTGTACCCTTTTGAAATCTTAATTTCGCCCGTCTTCAGCAAAAGTTACAAGTAGACTGCGGATTTTATGCATTTATGACGAAAATGTGTAGATCGAACGCAAAATAGCAAAAACATTTAAACAATTTAAACGTATCATTGTATTACCGTCAACTTATCGAAATTATTTAAAAAAGAGATAAATATCCATGTAGTTTTTCCTTCTTGCGATTAATGAAGAATATTTTTATCTTGCATAAAATCCCGCAGTCTGGTTGCAACGATTTAAAGACCACATTCTTAAAAATTCTTTTCAAATTTGTAACATTATATGGGCCGCACAAATCCTTTCGACTAAGGAACGTTTAGACTAGTAGAAAGGAACTACCTTCGTACGCAATGGTACCGTTGGTTCCTCCTTGTACGATCTTCTCAACGGAGCATATACGCTGTTGAAGCAAAACTGGTCCTTTTGAATTCATCTATCTCTTGCAAGGAAAGGAATCATCTCAGAACGTCCAACAGAAATGCACTACAAAATTCGATCTTCCCTTTCTAAAATATGTTATTCGTATCTTCAATTCGATTAACATTTCGTTGCATCAGGTCCCTTCGAAGATACGCTTCAAGATGGTACCAATACCATTTTGTCTCCATCTCGCTGTATCTCGGTAAAGAATGATCACGGCATCGTGATCTTCAGCTCGTTTTTAAGCAGAGAATGTGTCCATTTGATCGAGTGCCCGATAAACTACATAGATCAATTTTGTAACTTATGGTCCCAATGTTCAATGTGTCCGGTTCGCAAAACCTTGCTAGGCTCCAGGATCTTAGAAGATGAAAAATCGAAAGACAATTCTCGGTGCATCGTCCCGGGGATACAATTATTCAAGACCCACACTAATAGTCCCGGCCACTAACAAACTGCTTTGTACATGCAGGTATTATAGCGATAGAGGTCAATGTGCCAAATGTTATCTATCCTGTAACACGTGTTCCGGGCCCAGGCGTGACCAGTGCGTGACATGTCCCCGCGGCTGGCAGCTGGCAGCCGGGGAATGCCACCCAGAGTGCCCCGAAGGATTCTTCAAGTCCAACTTCGGCTGTCAGAAGTGTCACCACTATTGCCGCACCTGCAAAGGTCTAACGATTTAATCCGTGCGATAAAACAGCCATCCGGTGAACAATGAAACAGCTTGCTGAAATTCGATCATGTTACAGGTGAAGGACCTCTCGAATGCACTTCCTGTCCCCCGCACTCGATGCTAGAGGGGGGCCTGTGCATGGAGTGTCTCGGTGCGCAGTACTACGATCCCCTAACGCAGCTCTGCAAGAACTGCCACGTGGACTGTCGAAGATGCACAGGGCCCGGGAAATTCAGTTGCGCGGCCTGTTCGCCGCCATTACATCTAGACAAATTGAACAATCAGTGCGTGCCATGCTGCACTGGCAACGAGAAGGGACCGCAGGCTGAGGAGTGCTGCCTCTGCGACCCAGACACCGGTAATGTCAATAATCGCTTGCAATCATTTATTTTCAAGAACATTGGATCATCGCACACTCGGGCTAAAGGCGCCCAAAATCGGCAAAAAATCATTTGTATAGAATATTTCTACAGGGTGTCCCAAAATTATATTACTTCCGGGAAATGAGGGGTTCCTGAGATCATTCGAAGTAACTTTTTCCTCAGCGAAAATGCAATCCGCGGCTTTATTTACGAGTTACTAACGAAAAACAGTGACCAATAAGAATCGAGTACGGCTGACGCGAGGCGGCCCAACCAACCAGCGCACGAAGCCCAGTTCCGCTCATTGGCTCGGTCGCCTCGCGCCAGCTGAGCTGGGATTCGACCGCCTCGACCGCTGGCGCCGTTGGCTCGGCCAACTCACGCCAGCTGAGCTGAGATTCGACCGCTGGCGCCGCTGGCTCGGCCGACTCACGCCAGCTGAGCTGGGATTCGACCGCTCGACCGCTGGCGCCGTTGTCTCGGCCATCTCGCGGCAGTTGATCTCGCCTCTCATTGGTCACTGTTTTTCGTTAATAACTCGTTAATGGTGCCTCGGAGAAAATTTTTGTAAAGGAAAAAGTTGCTTCAAATGACCCGAGGAACTCGCCACTTTCGGATTGCGAGACATTTTTGGGACATCCTGTATAATACCTCATCGGTCAGAAGATATTTGTTACCGCTTTTGGGAGCTTTTGGCTCCACTGTGCGTCGATTGGCCAAGTGATTTCGCGTTTGTTTCAACTGTTCGTTAATCTTTGTTTCTGCGATTGTTACCTAGGTGGCTGCAGGAACAGCTCTCCGGCTGGCAAAAGAAGAGTACCCGGCACGGAGTTTGCCTCCGCCGACTCGTCCATTTCGGAGGTGTACGCTAATTACGAGGGAACCATGAACAACAGGAGCGACACCACCACGCTGCCCATCACCGTGATAGCCGTGGCCGTTTGTCTAGTGTCGGTCGCTTTGTTCGCCACCATATTCATCGCACTTCAGGTTTGTGTCTGAAACGTTACTATGAACATTTCTTCCAAATTTGAATACCGGTACGATAATGTATGCGATCTCGGACGACATTCGCAATAACGTCAGAAGGTTTGGTAGCTTGACAAAACCCATTGTCGCCGTTCTGAATTCAAAATGGAACAGTCCTGTCACGGTATTAAAGAGTTCCAGGGGAAAATGCTGCACATACAAAATTCAATGAATATACGGAACTGTTTTCCGAATTATTAATGTCTGAATGATATCGGATAAACAATAAATCCGTCTAACGCGATTCGTCTACGCGAATATTACAAACAAATAACATAATCGGAATATAAATTTACTTTAGAATGATTGAAATTATAAAGACTCCTTTATTGGAAATGAGTAAATCAATTTCTTAATTTCTTAATTAAAAAAATGAATTGGTCAAGTACAAAATTAAGAACACATTAGAAGAATTTAAGAGTATTGTTACATTATTTGCAACTTGTTACAATTGTTAAAAGATTTCAGATTTTTTATCCGATTCCTTCTTCTTACGATTAACTTAGATAATTTTTATTTTGCATAAAGATCCGCAGTCTGATTATAACAAAAGTAGCAAAAAGTGTAAATCAAATCTGCCCCGTCGTTATTGTGGACGAACAAATGATCCTGTTGCAGAAGAATTATTTTTCTATCCGACGAGTTCTATATTCGAGTTTTTGTCGAATCTATTATTTTCTTATTGAAGCTGATTGTAATTTGAGACGCTTCGTTGAAAGTGTTTCGGTGACCGATTGGAACAGTAACGTTCCCGATGTCGAGTCGGTCGAATTGATCCCTGTCCGCGATGTTCTCAGGCAATGTCGAACAGAAGAGAAGCGAACAAGGGTTACACGCAGCTGGCGATGAGGGTGGAGCCTCCGGACGACGTTGACGCGGACGACACGACGGAGCTGATGACCTAGACCCATTAATCAAGCCAACTAATGACAGGACCTCTCGTCGAAGAGTTTGATGAAGGTCGACCAGTCCTCGATCACCGGACCGATCGATGCGTTATTTGCGTGTGGCATTAGAAACCGTGAGCGTTCACCGAAAGTTTTCGCAAGAGAAGCAGAAGAACCATCAGAAGGCGAAGCAGAAGGAGAAGAACATGAAGAAAGAGAAATAGGCGTTGAACCAACTAGAAGAAGCGAGAAAGATCGGTCGGCGCTTCCGGTCCGAAACGGTCCGAGTCAGAAGAACAAAAACCCAACAAAAAAAAAAAGAAATAGAAACGAACAAAACGTCTACAGAATAATTCGAAGAAGGGGGGAGGAATATTTGTCCGAGACGAATGAAAGTGGTGACGAAAAGAGACAGAGGGTAGGAACAAAAGTAACACACGAGATATAAAATTCATTGGAGAAACGTGATAGTAAAGACAGTTTTTTTGGCGCACTGTACGAGGGGGGATGAAAGTGTGGCGATTATTCACTCCGTTGACAGTGTGCGGGTCTCTGCGTGTACGTTCGTGTGAATGAACGAAAGATGTCTCTAGGTACAAGATTTTTTTAAAACCGGTCAGGCGCGCATCGTTGATTCTTTCGAGTGCGCATTTACATGTAACGAACTGTGCGTCGACGCTATGCCGAAATCACTATGCGAACCGAGCGTGTACCAGTTACGAGCGAGAAGGGTAACGGACATTATAAAGTGCCTGATTTACAACGCCCTCATGGCCGCGCTTCTGTCCGCCCATTTTCGGTGCCCTCTATCATGAGATCGCCTCGCCTAAATCACACCCATTCGACGCTAACAAATCAATTTCAAACTCATCTTTGATACGTCTGCTGACCATGCACGTTGTTCGTTCCTGAAGATCTAGCAACCATTTAAAAAGGGGGTGAACCGGATGTGATCCGTGGAAAAATTTGTAGAGCTTAAATTTACAATTATTTCTCCCGATTCTCGATATTAGATGAATACAATTATGACATATAATTGAATATAATTATGATTGTAACCCTTTGCAGAGCCCGGAATTGTTTTAAAAGGTTTTGTTAGAAAACAAAATCACAGCTGTGATCGAAGTTATGCATTTATTATTAGCATTATTCAATTCTTGTACCGTTCAATCGCTAGAATTTTCGTTCAATCTCTAATCGTACTATATATGTTTCAACCCCTTTCTTCGCGTTATACATATTTTGTTCGAACTTGAATAAATATTGAGCTATGGAGGGTAAGTTGACCTAGGAGAATAATAAATTATTGAATTTAAGAGGGAAAGTCGGTTCTAATGAATAATGACTACCGACTTGTAAGGGGTTAACTAACAAAGGACGGACACTTTAAGATCGTCTATAGATACATGGACCAGTCGTATATTAAAGTATTCATTAGGGGCCGCCATAAAGTGGCGATTGAGAAATTACGCTGATAGAGGGGCGGAAATAGGAAGGCGGAAGTAGCTGAACCGAAAAGCTTAAAGGCAAACGGGACAGTTGACGGTGTAGACTAAACTGGGAACATTTTTCTCACACTTGAAAAGGAAAGGACAGAAAGAGGGAGAAAGGGAGAGAGAAATGTTTGTACAGCTTCGTTCCAGCGCAACGAACTAACTCGACAACCCTTGAAGACTCGAAAGAAAGATAGAGAACGAGAAAGAGAGAGAGAGAGAGAGAGAGAGAGAGCGTGTATGAGAGAGAGAGAGAGAGAGAGAGAAAAGGGAGAGAGAATTGATTTTGTCGATGATCCGACATACCGTGTATCCAGTCATTCCGTTATTTTCAGCCAGTCGACAGTGAATGTGCATTTTTATAACTGTGTTGTTGTTATTGCTGCATTGTCTATGCGTTTTGTTTTATTTAGTGAACTACGTGTTTTTCGCGTTGCTCCTGCTTCATTCGTATTCGTTTGTTTAGAGAAGCGAAGATTTAAGAAAATAAACATGAATCTATAATAGGGTTTAGAAAACGAAGAAAAAAAATAAATGAAACCTTGTTCGTATCGCACGAGAATCAGAGAGATTGCGGAAGCGAGAAACAGAGAGAGAGAGAGAGGGGCAGAGAAAGAGAGGGAGAGAGAGAGAGTGAGAGAGAGAGAGAGAGAGAGGGGGGAGATAAAGGAAGATGAGTATACAGTGGAAAGATGAAATGTATTCTAACGCGATGAACACACGAAAGCAGTCCTCGGTAAATCGGTAACTTTAAATAGCTACTGTCCGCGCCTACCGTGTGAATATTGAATTTCTCCTCGTGATTTGATATAAAGCTATTATTGTACTTTTATGATGGACGCGATTATAAATATATACATATATACATATATATCTATATACACACATACTCAGGCGTTTAAATATATTCTGAGTTCGTGTTCCCAATGAATTATCATTACTACGTGTCCCTGCTGTCCTATAATCCCTTTTTTCCCTCGATCCTCCACCGTTCAAAAATAATCTTGACACAACCTCCGATCAAGGTAAGTGTGTTTTTACTTAATCGTCGTACACTTGATTTAAATAAAAGATACATCAATTACAGAGAAAATAGAATGTAATATAGATTTTGATTAAATATAGGGAAATTGAATTATTAGATTTCTGATTCATTCTACGAGCAATAATATTTTACAATAAGAAGTGATAGATGCAATTCAGAGCAATTAAAAAGTTAAACAGATTTAAGATTATTTACATGTTACTTTCCACTTATTGAAGTGATTATGAAAGAAATTTTGGATCTGGACACCTTTCTGCATGTTACATATTCTCATAAAATTTAGCTCGACCGAATATCACTGATGTTTGTATACGACTCGCGTTGCTGTCAACGCGTAAAAGTCGCCAGTCAGAGTATCTTCCACTCGCGGAGTCTCCGAAATGGAAGAAAATGAAGTGGAATTTGAGGTCGATCGAGGATCACCGAATTAATTCCAAGCAATTTGGTGAAGTCGGTGATTTTTCAAAGCAACGATCCCGACGTAATCGGAATGCGATAAGAATCGAGATTTATTGAAACCCGTTGAAGGGAAGACGCGACGCTTCTTTGCGTTTCCTGATGCATGAAGAAGCTGTTGAAACGAGTGAAAAATCGCGGATTATGCTGCGAGCAAAGCCATGATTTATCGAGCCGCGCGGCATCGTGATTCACCGTCTGGTCTAGGTTTTGCCGGTATTTCGTCATCACGTCAAAATATCCGGCCGCATTAATCATTCAGCCATTCCGACGGATCACGAAGCGTCGAATTTGACACTTAAATATGCACGCGTGCCGCTCCCGTTTGCAACATTAATTCGATATACGCGCCGAAACGAATAACTTCGTCCGAGCGTCGTTAGCTGAATAAATGGATCTTATTGAGGCGCGATAGCCACCGCGGATCTACGCTGATCTTCCCGCCCGATTGTTTTCCCTTATTTATTGATCGCTGTACGGTAAGCAACGGCTGACAATATATCGATTGACGTCCGATGGGTAATGACATGGATGCGTTGATGCATAGCACTGACCGTGGAACATCCATTTCTCGAACACCAATTGACAGGGGTGCCTAATATCACAGTGTCAGCTGGTCCGGGTCATTAAGATGCAATGGTTAATTCCAGCGATTTTTCCATTTGCTACCTCTTTGCGAGATACGGAACGTGATTCAAGCGATTTTCTATGGCGTGTTTATATTAACAAGGTCTACTAGCATTCTTATCTTTTCTTTACAACGAATAATCTTTTATAATGAATCACCTTTTTTCCACTAATTAGTTGACAAATAAAACTTTTCTTTAATTAAAATCTTTGTACAATGACTCGTTTTAATGTTGAGCGTTCGTTAGTTATATTGTACCCTGACTAATTAATTGAACAGTATTGTTAGTGATCGTTTTGAAAAATTAGTAGAAATCTGAAAATTAAAGTGTTTCATTTGATTTAACATAATTTGTTCTGAATGGAACAATAATAGGACTAGAATGCAATTGATCCATTTGATTGCACGATTTTAAACTGCACTTTCGAGTCCAGGAAACGAGTAATTTGAGACGCTTTAAAAATCATTTTCATATGCGAAATGGAGAAAGAGGAAAAAGTTTGATTAACCCATTTGATTCTTCTGAGTAAATGAAATAATTGACATACAGTGCAATATCAAAGAATACTTTAAGAGCCAGAAAATGAGATATCAGACGGATGAATCGAGTAACTGGAACGGCTTTAAAAATTATTCCGACGAAGATCCAAAGAACCAGAAAGTTTTATTAATCAAAAAAGACCTCAAAGGGAAGTTTCATCAAGAAGAATGTTATAACGGGGATAAGAATAATATAAATTTAATATTGTTACACGTTATTGGCTGCTGACCCGTCGAGAAAGAATTTTCCCGCACGAATCTCGGCTGCAATCCGTCAAAAGGTTATTAAAAATTCAGAATAGCAATCGGTGGGATTGCCTCGCGAACCCTATTAATATTTATAGCTTTCATGAGCATTCCAACAATACGGTTATTCTTGTTTGCTGACAATGGATACATCTTTGTAATAAATGCAAGCACGGCGAACGGATTCGGAAGAGAACATAGAGAGGAAAGCATCGATGGGAAGACAAGGAAGCGGCGACGGCTTAAGGGATCAAAACAAGGATTATTGAGCTTCCTAAAGGCTTTATATAGCTCGAATAACTTAGTAAATAGAGCATCGCTGGCCATCCGGTAATCGTTCTCACGAAATTGCTCGCGACTCCGCCATTTTTCGCCCGTTAAATAAGAATAAATTGCTTTCCGCGAGATCCACCTTTTCCGCGAGAAATTCAGATCCGTTCGATCGTAGAAATGGCAAAAACACAACTGTACAGCGAGTATCATAATGCATCGAAATATTGACGCGTTTCTTGTCTTTTAACTGGGAAACGATACGAATAGAATAGAATAGAATTCAATAGACTTGCAGTAAGAAGTATTGCATTGTCGACAGAGAATTAAAGGACAGAAGCTTTTGCAAATTGTTTCGTGCTAAAATAAAGCATTTCTCGAAGGGTGTTGGTTTTACTTTTCGATTTTATATTTTTCAAAGACATGGAGTTACGTGCCTTTCAGGCAATCTTCACAAAGTTACTTTACATTAGAATCGAAAAAATATTGAAAAATATTCAAACATTTCGTTTCCTTTAAACTCGTTCAAGATTAAATGAATGAATGATTTAAAAAGAATTCCCCAAATTTAGGTAAATAATTTATTACATTCATTACTAGGATTTTATACATTTATGACAAAGACGAGTAGATCGAATACAAAACCCGAAACACATTCAAGGAATATAAAAATGCAATTGTTTTTTTAACTGAATTTTGAATTCAATTTGTACACTTTTATAAAAAATTCATAATTACAACAATGAATTAACACTGCCATATTAATACCATGATTTTCACTTAATTAGCATTACTCCTAATTTTAGATCAATCAAATTAACCCTCGATGGTTTTCCACCTTGCTGAATTTAGGTAAATATTGGCCTACAAATTGGCCGCCAAATAAATTTGGCCTACAAAATTAATGTCAATTTCAAATAAAAATTCATTCTATTGATTATACATCTAAAATAATTTCCAATAAAAATTAACTAATTTGTAAAACTTGTTCCTTTGTTTCTTCGATCTCGTTGAAGTTGTTTAAAAGCGAAATCAATATTTCTGTAGCTGCTGTATCTTGCAATAAATGCGAGCAATTTTTATTTTGCACAAAAATCCGCAGTCTATTCATTACCTTCTTCTACAAGAGACACTGAAGACGAAAGATAATCATTGCTTCATCTAATTTCACATTTTTCAGAGAAATATCTATAGTTACACGCATTTTATCCGTCCGATCACAGTTTGTTTATCCAAAAACTGACAGAATAATTGAAACAGCGAGTTGCGGATTAACATTGTTAGGAAAGGATTAAAAAAAAAGGTCGGTTCAAAGTGCCGCGGAAATAATGGGAACGGATGGCATCGGGTCAGATGAAATGCCGTTAAAGAAGCCATAGCACACGTTCGAACCGACGATCGACGTCGAACGGGGGTGCCGTGATATACGCCGCGTCGATATGCCGATCGAGATAACGGGCTCGCCGATAAATTCGGCAACGATAATTCGCGTGCCCCTACTTTTATCAGGCTGGGTGTCGTAGCGTAAGCGGATATCGTAAATTCGTGAAGGCAAATCCCCCTTCGCCCTGCGCGTGTGCAACGGTTTTATCGCCGCATCACTTTAATTATACCAGCCGCAACTATTCCGGCGTCGATCTTTTCCGATTTCCCCGGTATCAGGCAGTCGGAACGAACCCGACGGGGATGCCATCGGAAAATCCGTCATTTAAATCCGTCAGAAATGGAAATCGGAATAAAAATTCTGTCCCATCTATTTTTCCGCGCACAGCGACATTTGTGCTCCAAAGGGCCGAACACGCGCGAATTAAAAGTCTGTATTTGGAACTCGTCTCGGAAATCACTGTCAGCTAATTAGCGACTGTGCAAAAAAGTATACAACTTATAAAATATCAGTCTGTTAAATGGAATTAGAAGATACGTTGCTTCATTCGAAATGGATTTTATTCAGTTCCAATTACATAAACAAATTTTACGATCGAATCTTTTATTTTAAATTACATTTCACGAGCGGTCAAGAAAATTGCTATTTTTAGTCATCCGAACGTTAATGTGTTAAAATGACATTATCGATAAGTCGCCGGATGATTGTCTGCAGCATTGAAGATAACATTAATCATTCTCTTGTTAATATTCTCGATGGTCGATTGCAATCGCTGCTGGATAATTCATCGAGAAATTGAACAAATGCTAGCTGTGAATCATTGATGTTCAATCTCACAACGCTCGTGCTCACGTATGCCACGGACATACTAAATTGATAAAGAACAGTTCACAGTTTAAATTGTACAAACTTTATTGAATTTGAAACAACGTTCCATTTTCTATGCATGCGTTAGAGCTACTGTCATGAGGGAATTGAATGAAATTTCTCGTTACGGTTACGTGAAAACAAGTTTAACAATTGCTTTACACATTTGGAATGGCACGTGTGAATGAAAATTATTGCGCGTTACGACGTTGAATGGCTTCCAATTTATTAACTATGATAATCTATTATTAATCTTTATATTATTAACCTTCATATTATTAATTTTTATATTATTAACCTTCATATTATTACTCTCTATATTATTAATCTTTATATTATTACTCTTTACATTATTAATCTTCATATTATTAATTTTTAAAAAGAACAGTTTTCTGTGTTTCTTTATTGGACGAAATTTATTAGCTATAAAAGCGTACTTCATTTGTTACCAATTTTCATCATAATCTACTTCCTTTTTAAAAAATTTAATT